AAGGGGTACCCCTTTTGGGGAATTTTCGAAAATTTTTAAGTGACCTTAACTTTTTTTGGGATTTTCGTATTGGGGTGCGGTTTCTTTCTAAAAATAAAGTATAAACTTAGGAATTTTTTCAGCCGAAAAAATTTCGAAAAAATTCGAAATTGGGCCCGAGGGGGTCGAATTTCGAAAAACCCAAAATTTTTCGGTTTTTCGAAAAAATTTCGGGTTTTTTGTGGCGGTTCGAGCCGAAGGTATTTTTCCCATGTAGAGCAGATTTTTCTGCATAGGATAGCCTTTTAAAATTTTAAAAAAGGTATACTTTGTGAGAGTTATAAATTTTTGAAAATTCGGGTGAATTTCACGGCCGAAATTTTCGGCCAAAAAAATAAATTTTTCAAAATGGGTTTAAATGGGGCAAATTATATATCAATCGAAAGCTCTTGTCGAGCCGAGTGTAAAAATATTTTTTAAAAAATTTTTTGACCATTTTGGCCAAAATTATTGGAGGTCGAAGATTTGAGTCTGGGGTGGTACTTTTGCTGGTAGCGTACCAAGGGAGGGGCAATAATTCAAATATCGTCCGGTAATGTTGTAGAGCGTCCCCTGGGGTACCTAAAAATATATACTTTTTGGGGGTTCCATTTGAGTCTGAGTGAGTTAGGCCGTTTTATAATTTTTGAGTCTGGGTGGTAATTTAGCCGGTGGGGTACCTAAGTAGGGGGAATAAATTAAAAAGACTTACATTATATTGTAGACCATTCTGAAATCCATCTAAAAAATATAAAATTTTAACGGGGCTTGGTCAGATAACTTGGTCAGACTCAAGTGACCCCGTTAAAAGTTTATATTTTTTAGATGGAATTTATGATGCTCTACAATATAACGTAAGTATTTTTAATTTATTCCCCCTCTTTTGGTACCCCACCAGCTAAATTACCCCCCAGACTCAAAAACTATAAAACTTCATAACTCTCCCAGACTCAAGTGTACCCCCAACAAAGTATATATTTTTAGGTGTCCCAGGTGACGCTCTACAACCTTACTGGACGATATTTGATTTATTGCTCCTCCTTTGGTACCCCACCGGCAAAGCGTACCCCTCCAGACTCAAACTTTTGACCGACCATAACTTTGGACAAAATGGTCAGAAAATTTTTAAAAAATTATTTTTAAACTCCCCACGGTAAGGGCTTTCGATTGATATATCATTTGCAACATCTATATCCATTTTTAAAATTTTATTTTTTTGGCCGAAAATTTCGGCCGAAAAAATCACCCTAAATTTCAAAAAAATCATAACTTTTTCAAAGTGGACCTTTTTGAAAATTTTTAAAAGCTTATTCTATGCAGAAAAATCTGCTCTATCTAGGAAAAATAAATTCGGACCGAACCACCGGCAAAAAACCCGAAAAAATTTCGAAAAACCACAAAATTTTCGGGTTTTCGAAATTCGACCCCTACACCCACAATTTCGAATTTTTTCGAAATTTTCTTCAGTCAAAAAATACCTAATTTTTTGCTTGATTTTATAAAGCAAACCCCATCCCAATCCGATAATCCGGAAAAAAGTTAAAGTCCCCCAAAAAATAGCGAATTTTCCCCAAAAGGGGTACCCCTTTGGAAATAGGATGGGGGACAAAATTTTCGAATTTTGACCACAAAAACGACTTATATGGTACTCTAACACCCGCTGAGTACGAATCCGGTGCCAGAAAAATTTTAAAAAAATTCCTCGGGACGTTAGAGTCTCATAAAGTTTTCCGACATTTGGCCACATTGGCTATAATTTTCCCAGACTCAAGTGGACCCCCAACATATTATACCTTTTTCTGATTGCCAGGGAACGCCCTTTCGAATGGGCGTTCCCTGGCAGGGAACGCCCTTTCCCCCATCAGACTCAAATATCCCACCTCCAGACTCAAGTGACCCCCATCAAACAAACATCACAAAACGCGCATTAAATTACTCTATAATACCCCCCAGGTCCCATCCAAATACACCTCTCCAAAAAAAAGTTACAGTCGAAAAACCATTTGAGTACGGGCCGGACATTTCAGTCTCACGAGGCTACAGCCTCCCCCTTTGAATTTTTTGACCAAATTTTTTTTTATTCGTAATCTACATATGGTGGGGCAGGGCCCTCGCCCCAGGCCCAAACCCCCTTTCTATTGAACATTTTCGAGATACGGAAAACCCAGTTTCAGTTTGAGACTCTTGCGACCCCCCAAAAATTTTCTCTATAGTTTTCCTGAATGCGGCATAAAAAGTACCCCCCAGCATGTCACACTTTCAGGAAGCGGCCGGCCTTCGGCCGGCCGGAATTAGTTTTTAAAAACGAAACTCAAAGTTATTATATATATATATAACTAGCTATGGGTTTGGCCACTGATGGCGGCGGATAGCTGGGAGCATTTAATTACGACACTTTAGGTTTAAATTTTGCTCTGCCCGTTCGAAAGCCTAACGGCTTTGGGGGCGCGCTTCGCGCGCCGCTAGCGATTTTTTATGCCTGGAACAAAAGATTAGCCTTCAGTTGGGACTCGTCCATCCATTTAGAGTCACTTCGGGCCTTCGGCCCTCGTTTTCCCTCAGTTGGACACATCCTCTCACTTAGAGTAACTTCGGGCCTTCGCCCCTCGTCTTCCCTTCGATTGGACTCATCCTTCCACTTAGACTCGTCCTTCCACCCTCGCTCTCCCTTTTAGATGGGTGTCAGCTCGGGCCTTCGGCCCTCGCCCTCTCTTTTAGATGGTTGTCAGCTCGGGCCTTCGGCTCTCGCCCTCCTTTTTAGATGGGTGTCAGCTCGGGCCTTCGGCCCTTGCCCTCCCTTTTAAATAGGTGTCAGCTCGCCCTCTCTTTTAGATGGGTGTCAGCTCGGGCCTTCGGCCCTCGCCCTCCCTTTTAGACACTTAGAGTTACTTCGGGCCTTCGGCCCTCGTCTTCCCATCGATTGGACTCATCCTTCCACCCTCGCCCTTTCTTTTAGATGGGTGTCAGCTCGGGCCTTCGGCCCTCACCCTCCCTTTTAGATGGGTGTCAGCCCTCGTTGTCTCTTTTAGATGGGTGTCAGCTCTCCTTCCACTTAGAGTCACTTCGGGCCTTCGGCCCTCGTCTTCCCCCCGTTGGGACTCATCCTTCAACTTAGAGTCCCTTCAGGCCTTCGGCCCTCGTATGCACTCCATTAGGTGTCAGCTCGGGCCTCCGGCCCTCGCCCTCCCTTTTAGATGGGTGTCAGCTCGGGCCTTCGGCCCTCGCACTCCCTTTTAGATGGGTGTCAGCTCGGGCCTTCGGCCCTCGCCTCTCTTTTAGAGCCTTTTTCGAACCGCCAGGGGACGCTCTTTAAGATAGGATATCGAAAACGGGTTTCAATTCACTTTTGACAATTGGAGCCACCCTTCCCAATTTTACATGGGGTCATTGTGAAACTTTGGGCTACTGTAACTTGGTCCAAAGTGGTCCAAAAAATTTAAAATAAATTTATCCAGACTCAGCTCGTCGAGAGCTTTCATTTGATATATCACACGTGATTTGTCGATAAGTTTCGTAAATTTCGAAATTTGCGAAACGGGGATTTTGGGATTTTTGCGCAGGCATAAGTACCCTTCAAGTTGGGATTTAGACTTCGGGTTTTTTCCTACATATATCAGCTTATTCCAACTTGCGTGCCTCCCGTTGGAAGTTTTTTGATATCTCCCCCCAGTCCCGAGATACCCCCGGTACCTATTCTATATAGGTACCAGTGGGTAATTATTTCTTAACTTTCGTATTTTTCCCAAATGCCCCATCAAATAGAACCCTTAAATGCAAAAGTTTCAGACCCCTAACTCAATTCGTTAAAGGGTTAGAATTTTTCAGCCTGGGGGCATAATCATTTGGGAAGGCATAAGTACCCTTCAGGTCCGAATTTCGAATTCGAGTTTTTTTCCATTGACATCCCCTAATAGTGGGGCACGTGCCTCCCAGCAGACGTTTTCCGCTATCTCCAGCCATTAAAAAGATAGCCCCGGCACTTAAGCGATTTAGGTACCAGGGGGCAATTATTTCGACTTCTCGATAATTTTCCTGGATGCCCCGTCCCAAACTACCCCCCGAATGTCAAACTCCCAAAACCGTGCCGGCCTTCGGCCGGCCGTTTATTTGTCGACCAGTTTCGTAAATCTCGAAATTTGCGAAACGGGGATTTTGGGATTTTTGGGAAGGCATATCTACCCTCCAAGTTGGGATTTCGGGTTCGGGTTTTTTCCCATTAATATCCTCTAATCCCAACGTGCGTGCCTCCCGTTGGAAGTTTTCCTCTATCTGGTCCCACTCCCGAGATACCCCCGGTACCTATTCAATATAGGTACCATGGGGCAATTATTTCAACCCTTCCCTATTTTTCCCAAATGCCCCATCGTATCCAACCCCGGATGCAAAAAGTTTCAGACTTCTAACTCATCCCTAAAATGAGTTAGACTTCGAAGCCCCGGGGGCATAACCATTTGGGAAGGCATAAGTACCCTTCAGGTCCGAATTTCGACTTCGAGTTTTTTTCCATTAACATCCCCTAATAGTGGGGCACGTGCCTCCCAGCAGACGTTTTCCGCTATCTCCAGCCATTAAAAAGATAGCCCCGGCACTTAAGCGATTTAGGTACCAGGGGGCAATTATTTCGACTTCTCGATAATTTTCCCAAATAGCCCATTAAAAGCGATGGGTTTGGCCACTGATGGCGGCGGATAGCTGAATGGCGGTAAAATTTTGGGAGGCGGTTAAGCAATTATTTCAACCCCCTAACGGCTTTGGGGCGCGAAGCGCGCCCCAAAGCCGTTAGGCTTTCCAACGGGCATCCCAAACTAAACTGCCAGAGTATCGATGAAAAAAAAAAACCCCCCAGCATGTCACACTTTCAGGAAGCGGCCGGCCTTCGGCCGGCCGGAATTAGTTTTTAAAAACGAAACTCAAAGTTATTATATATATATATATAATCGTCTATCTTTTTATTTACAATTTCCTCTTTTTTTTAATAGCAACACTGATGCAGGATTAGGTTTGTTGGTTCAGACACGAAGAAAACTTCGGATTTTTTGGTTTGGTTCCGGATAGCCGAAGATCTTTTAAGAACCGACAACCCCTTACTGACTCCTCCCTTCACACTTTGACTACTCACAATCTCGAATACTTGTGATATTTTTATCCTTCAATCAAATATAATAGAATTCGATAACCGCCAATGGAAAAAGACTATTTTCTCTCTCTCCCGCTCTCAACATACATACTAGCTCTAATTTTAATTAAAAATTTTTATTTTTTAGATGAACGTCCATTTAACGAATTCTCAAGAAAAGGTTTTTGGAAGATGTTGACAGTTAAAGACTTTCTTGGGGATTGTATGTTAATCGTTACTGTACATCCATATACTGATAAAGAGGTTTTTTTTAATTTTAAATATTCCAAAAAAAGTTTTCTTTAAAAGATTTGTTCAAAAATAAAGCAACGACTTGTTGAGAAATTTCTTCATCCTCAAAATCCCGAAGATCTTTTGCCTGATTGTAATGTTACTTCAATATTTTGGCAAGAACAAGTTAATTCTAGCGATGATAAAAATTATGAACATTTGGCAGGTTTGGGGAGAAAATTTTTTTAGATAATAAACTGAACGACAATTCACTGACTGAACGACAATTCACCGATTGTCGTGAGTAAAGGAGAGGGAGAAGTAAAAGTTTAGTCATTGTGTAGGCAATAATTCTTCGACCTCTGACAGATTGCTAACATAAGTTTTTACTCACCAGGTAGCTGCTCTACCGACAGATGTGAGCTACTAGGGCGTTGCTCTAAACTTCTATTTTTTGCTCAGCCTAATAAGCACTTTTAAGTAAATTGTGAAAAATTCTTACATTTTTTAAAGGAATTTTTTTTAATTTTTTTATCATTCTTACTGTCTTGTCAAATTTACATTTCGTTATTTTGCTCTCTTTAGTAATTTTTGAAGATTTTCCACAATTTATTAACGATTAAATCTTCATTCGGTGAATTGTCCGCCTTTCGGTGAATTGTCTATCAAATCCATTTTAATCCTTTTTTAAGGTCCTCCATTTGTTTATGAATCTTTGTTGGGTTGTAATTTTCGAATATCTCCATCTACCTTCTTTCAGGTTTTTTAAAAAATTATTTTTACTTAAAAACTTATAATTAAAAGACAAATTCAACCGGGGCAGCTTTGCTTTATTCAGCAATTGGAGATTTACTTAAATTACCTAAATTAATTAATGCCCCAGGAAGTGAAAAATTTAATCGAATGGAAAAATTAAAAAATAATAAAAATATTTTGAAAGAAGAGAAAATTGTGGTTGAAAAATTGGAAGATAATAAAGTTGGAGAAGAAGACAAAGAAGAATGTATTGCAAAAAAGCCTCGTTTAGATAAAGAAAAAATTGAAGAGAAAGAGTCAAATATAGAGGTATTATTAAATTTTATTAGAAAATATTTTTGTTGTGGTATTATTTTAAAATAGAAGACAAATTTTTGGTGAATAATATACTAGGAATTCACCAGAGCTGTCCGAGACCGAAAATTTTCCAAGACTTAAGACCAAGACTTCATCCAAAGACCAAGACCGAAAAAAACCCAAGAAAAGTTTTGAGTCAAGACTCATGACCAAAAGTCTCGGACAGCTCTATTCACCCTTCTTAATTTACCATTTTTCTATCGACAATTTTAAAATAGCAACATTTTGCTTATTTTATCGTGAAAAGATCAAACATTTTTTTAAATCAAAAATCTTTTTAATAATTCCTAACTCTAAAAATCTTTTCTTTATGTAGTAATCAAAAATCAGTCAAAAAGGAGTAGACCTCTCCAAAATCCAATTTTGAATGACTTTATGATAAACGGTTCCAGTTTTCTTGGACCTTCTGTTGTTTTAGAGCTTTGGATATATCAAAAATTCTCTAATTTAAACATATTTCTATTCAATTTTTAGCCGCAAAAACACGGCTCTAATGTATTTCTCGATATTTGTTGTGGTTCTGGTTCAATAGCAATTTGTTTAATGGCCAGAATTAGACAATCAATACAAGAAGGAACAATTTCTGATTATTCAAAAGTTCCATATGGATGTGTTGGGATTGATTTAAATACTGAAGCTATTCAAGATGCTAGAAGAAATGCTTCAGAAAATGGATTTGACGATAAAAGGTTTTTTCTAAATTTAAATGGGAGGAATTCTTTAGGGAAAAAATATTTTTTTAAGTTAACCTTGAATATAAAATAAGAAAAATAGGTATATTAAATGTAGAAATTGCTTTGCCAATTTTCTCTGTGAGCTTACTTTTTGAGTAGAACCATTTGTCTTGTTTATAATACACCGTTCAAGGCAGTGTTTGGAAATTTGCTTGTATGTATCAATGCTTCGTACAGGCTCTATTTCTTTTCTCACATATGTGTACGCAAGTACAAGTCAAATTTTGGTATGAGCTCAAAAATAATGATCCCAATTCCATATAAAGAAATAGAAGCTCCTAATCTAGGCAATGTTTTTATCATTCGCCTTGCTTTATTCTCTTTTCATGTAGGTAATATTTTTCAGTTTTGTGGTTAATTTTTTGAGCTAGTCCTTGTTTTTTAGTTTGATTAATGTTTTTGGTCTCCCATAAGCCTAAAAAATCATTTTAAAAATTTCTTTTTTAAAGTTGCAAATTCTTGTGTGGACAAGCAGAGAGTATATTCAAAGATTTAAAATATTATTTGCCAACTGGTTGTTCTATAAAGGATGCAAATATGATGGGAATACTTGACCCTCCTAGAGCTGGAATTCCAGACAAGGCAATTATTGGATGTAGAAAGGTTTTTTTCGAGAAATTTTTTTATAAAAATTTTTTAAAGCTTGAACAACTAAAAACATTAATTTATGTTTCGTGTGACCCTCACGCTGCTACAAAAAATTTTGTTGATTTGTGTAGGCCAATGTCTTGCAAATTTGATGGACAACCATTTAAAATTGTTGCTATACAACCTGTTGACTTATTTCCGATGACTAGACATTTGGAATGGATTGTTAAATTTGAAAGATGTTGAAGTTTTTTTTATTTTTTTTCAAATTTTTCTTTATTGAAACCCTTAGTTTAAAATAAATTTAAAAAGCCTTCCGTAAAACATCCATTCTCCCAATACCCGATTAAGAAGTTTATTATGGGTGAAATACTTGTTCGGTCCCAAATACTTGATAGGTATCATCCAGTGCTGTGTTTTGGGTAAATAATCAGAAAAAAATTTTGGCCGTGGTAAAATTTATTTTTTTAAAGTTGCGAAAAAAAATTTTATTTTTTTAAACTCCGGGGATTTCAAAATCTTAGCTCCGCCATAGCCGACTCCTCCCGGAGACATACACAGTCCATCTTAAATTAGTAATATTCGAGTTGCTTCTGGAGGTTCAAATAGTAGGAAAATTTGGTTGTGGTCTTTGAGATTTTTTCATTTGGTTGTTTTAATTTTTTTAAATTTTTTCTTAAAGAAAAAAGGACAAGAAAAATAATTTTATATCTTGTTAGTTTTTTCTGTTTAATATTTAATTACCTCCCAGCTAAATAAAAAACAACATTTATTAATCTTTACTTTAAAAAAACAAAAAAACATTACGAAAACATTACACAAATATTTTTTTTTACTAAAAGAATTGGTAAAGCCAATTAATTAAAATAAGCTTGCGCATTTTTCCTTTCTTTTTTAAAAACTAATAATATTTTTTAATTATTTGAGGTAATATTTGTTGTTGTATTAGATGATTCTTGTTGTTGTTGATAAAATTGTTGTTGTTGATGTGCTGCCATTATTTGTTGTGCCATCATTTGTGAAGCTATTTGTTGTTGTGTTGCAGCCATCATTGAAGCTGATCGGCCAGTGGCAGCGATGTTGGTACCCAATGGAACTTCTCGTAATAATGGCTCGAGAAATGCAAAATGTGGAGTGCAAAGAATTGCTTGCTTTCTAAAAAAAATTTTTTGATTTGGGTAGAAAATCAGATTTTTTGATAAAAAATGGAAGTAGTAACCCTTATTGGGGTGTTTACATTAGAGTTCAGCGGTTGGTTTTACAATTGGTTTTCGAACATGCTCTACACGATGGTATAACTTTCATAAAATTTTTACTCACAGTTCGAAATATTCCCTTGTGAACCCAAGTTTACATTAAAATTTTTGCGACCAAGATAAAGAAGTGAGAGATTCGATTCTTTTCTCCTTCGAGTTTTATAGTTAGATAAGTGTGGAATCAAAAATTAAAATCAAAAAAATTCCTACATGTGTACAGGCGATAACGTTTTCGTACTGCTGTGTTGTAACGCTCCAGCCGCACTTTGCAACAACTTCTCGGCAAACAATTCCATTGCGCTTCCAATTGCAACAGGAACACTTGCAACCTTTTTTTAAATTTATTTTTAAAAAAATTACTTTAAAAAAACCATTCTGCCAATTTCTTCGTCACTTTGCATTACTTTTTTGATTCGAGTCTAAAATTTTTCTTTTTTAATTTCTTAAAAAATAAAAAAATTAACCGGTTGAATCCGCGCCATACTATAACGACGTTTTCGTATTCGCCCAGACCGAAAATCTCCATCTTCGGAGGAACAAGCTGCCGCAGTAGTATCTTCTTCAACAATTGGATTGGGTGGTTGGACTTGTTTGGAGTCCTGAAATTTGAATTAATTTTTAAAAAATTACTGGGATCAGCGCTAATATTATAAATATCCCATTTTTTCCTCTCCAAGTTCCTTCCTATATATTTGTAGAATGGTCAGACTTTTGCCCTTCTTCCGTCCCAATTTTCCTTTCTTCCATTCAAGTGGGAATAAAAATTACCTAATTCTTTTAAATGTTTAGAAGGGCAAATGGAAGAGAGGAAGAAGTCTGACCATTCTGTAGATATTTAGAAAAGTTGGAGAGGAAAAAATTGGGTCTGTCAGGTTCATTACCGGATTAGCTAAACTTTCAAAAATAAACTTACAACAATCCCCGCATATTGTGGCTGCTGATACATCATTCCAGCGAGGGCATTTTTTGTTGCCTCAACAAAAGTATTATTGTAATTTTGCTGACCACCAAAACTATCCAATGTATATGGCAGTGTTGTTGTCCCCCCATTTCCGCCTGACATGCCATTTCTGTTGTTATTTTCGTTGTATATATTTGTAGTGGTATTATTGTTATTGTTGTTGCCACCCTGAATGAATAAATGAGAAGAGGGAGAATGATGATGAAATGGCAGTGTCTGCTGCTGCAGCATTTGAAGAGAAGGGTGTTGAGGGGGCGTTTGTTGTAATAAAGCAGACATTGAAGAATTTTGTTGTTGTTCTAAAGTAGCTGCTGCTGTGGGTATTAACGTTGTATCAACTAATCCACCAGCATTTAAACTGCTACTGTTCATTTGCTAGAAAGTGTCTTCTTGGTCGTCTTGTCGAAAATACAGAAAATTTGGAGTAAAATCCGCAACAATTTAACAATTCTGTGAATATTCCCATTGTAAAGGTTAAGGGTTTTAAGAGGTTTTTTTGGAAGTCGAATTTAAAGAATTTCAAAAGATTTTTAAAAAGTTTGGTATTTGCTAATCTAAGCGTTTTTCCCCTCTCTTCTTATCTTTTCTCATCGACAAACAAATTTACAAATAAGTTAGAGAGGAAAAAGAAGCGATTTTGTGGTGTTGGAACCTGTTATCTTAGTGGTGGAAAAAGGGAAATATCGCCTAAAAAGAGGAGAGAGTGGATTAAACTTACTGGAAGAGAAGTCAGAGAAAGGCAGACACTGAAACGAGGAGCTGTTGTACAAACGCTCAGCTTGCCCTGTTAAATAGGCTGGGATTGGACTGGCATTTTGTTTTTAATGCCAATTTCGAAAATAATTAGTTGTAGACATTAAGCCTGTACAAGTTAGAGAAGCATAATAAAAAGATGAAGTAAAGTTGAGAGAAAAAGAAAAAGAGTAAAAGAAATAATATAAAGAGAGGGGAAGAAACAAAGTTTGCTAATCCTTTTTTAATTTTTGTGGGAGGTTTTTGTGGTTAAGTGGGTTATTTTAAGCTTTTTGGGGAGGATTTTGGGGGTTCGTGTCTATTTTATTTCCATTTTACTCTTAATAATTTTTTTTTGAAATTTTAGAAACATCGACTATTTTTTTAATTTAATTTAATCGCTACAAATAAAAATGAATGAACACGCTAAACAAATTAGACTTCCAAAGAAGGCGGAGAAAGTTAAAAATAAGACACCAGCTCCAGTTCAAATCACTGCTGAACAGCTTCTTCGGGAGGCTAAGGAACGCGAATTAGAGGTTTAAATTTTATATTTTTGCTTTAAAATAATTTGTGTATGTAGACAGTCCCTCCACCGCCCAAAGTTCGAATTACCGACCCGGAAGAATTGGCAGAATATCACAGAAAGAAGAGAAAAGAATTTGAAGATAATATTCGAAAAAATAAAATGCAACTTGCAAATTGGATTAAATATGCAAAATGGGAGGAATCGGTTGGTGAATTACAGCGTTCAAGATCTATTTTCGAAAGAGGGTTGGATATAGACCACAGAAATATTACTGTTTGGTTACAATATGCGGAAATGGAAATGAGGTTGTATAAAATTTATAACGGGGTGCTGCCTTATATTTTGGAAAATAAAATTTATAACGAGAGGTCACAAACGGAGAATAAGCTAGTACCATTTTTGTGGGTCACAGATGGTAGCTCCTTCGACTTGGCTCGTCAAACTGACAATGAGTCAAACTACTCTAATTTCGGGTTAGAGGGACTTGATTGGTGTAGATTAGGTTGTGACCAATTGAAGTCTCACTGAAAAAAAGTCTCAAGCTATCATTTGTCTTTATCACCCCTAATTCTAAAACGCTGACCGATGGAATATAGAGGATTTTATTTTGTTAACTTTTTATGTGGGTTTTTCTCAGAATTTAATCGTTCATTAACTGACTGATTAAAAAAGACAAACTCACAGAAAGTCCACAGGAAAAGCCTCCCATTTTCAGTATATCCAATATATTTTAAACTTTTCCTTCAAGGAATAAACAAATTAATCATGCTCGTAATATTTGGGATCGTGCTGTTTCTATTCTTCCACGAGCAACTCAATTTTGGTTAAAATTTACTTATATGGAAGAACTTGTTGGTAACGTTCCTGGTGCAAGACAGGTTTTTTAAAAATATTTTTTGATATTTTAATCAAAAATTTTTGAAGGTATTTGAACGCTGGATGGAATGGGAACCTGATGAGCAGGCTTGGAATACTTTTATTAATTTTGAAATGCGTTATAAAGAGATTGATAGAGCTCGGAATATTTATCAGGTATTTTTTTTCATTTTAAAATTTTAAGCTGATTGTGAGATTAGGTTAATTTTGGGTCCACTCCATAAGGTCAACACCCTAAAGATCAACTTGACCTGGAAGTCAACTCCAAATATTGAACCCTAGACTGAACCCTAGCGTCAGTTGACCTCTCGATTTTGACTCGCTGCCCTTCTGTTATTCGTAAATTTGTATATCTTGGTTATTTTTACGGTTATCCCCTCCATTTTCTCTTCTCCTTCCCTTCCTTTTCTATAAAATAGTGAAAATAGTCTGTAAAATTGATTAAAAAATTTTTTTGACTTGATTTGTGATAAATTTGGCCTTTTCACTATTTTTTAACTCAAAAATTATTTTAGAGATTTTTACACGTTCACGGCCATGATTTCCGTAATTGGGTTCGTTATGCACGTTTTGAGGAACGCAATGGTTCTATTGACAATGCTCGCGCTGTTTTTGAACAAATGCTTGAATTTTTTGGAGAAGATGGACTGAATGAGCAAATGCTTGTTGCTTTTGCACATTTTGAAGAACGGCAAAAAGAATTTGAACGTGCCCGGATAATTTATCAATATGGCCTAGGTATGTGGTAGTGATGTTCGGGAGAAGAAAAAACTCGGGAATCGGGAAACGGGAGTCGGGTCGGGAAATGACCTCGGGAGTCGGGATCGGGAGTCGGGAATTTTCGATAAAAAATTAAAAAAAATTTTTGGCGCCTTCGGCGTCAAAAATTCTGATTTTTTCGTCGCAAGCATAAATTTTAAGCATTTTTGAAGGTCAGAAAGCCAGAATTTTCAATTCTTCGCGCCGCAGGCAGAAATCTTGATAATCATGGAGGTCAAGAAGCCAAATTTCATCAATTTTGGCCGGTTGGCTTTCTAAATTCCCAAAATTTTTGCCTCGTCGCATCTGGTATTAAAATATTGCATCCATGGAAGGATATAGAGCGATTAGAAGTGATTAAGGAGCATTTAATATTAAGATGGATAAAGGTGGTTAGCAGAATTAGTTCAGTATTAGCGGTAGCCTATAATAATAGGGTCTATTAAGAGGGGTGTATTACTGAGACTGGCTAATCAAATTTTAAAGACCTCTTAATCTCAAATCATTTGTCTGCGCCGCAGGGAAAATTTTTTTATGCTTGGCATGCTAAGAGGTCATATTCCTTCCATTTTCTGCGCCGCAGGCGAAAATTTTCGAAAATTCATGACTAAATTAATTTTTCTAGTTTTCTCACGTTTACTAGTATTAAAAAAATTAATTAACAATTTTAAAATCAAAATCAAAGTTAAAAGCATTTATTTTCGGAAGGAAAAATTATTTAACTCACATTTCCCAACCCCGGATTTAAACCCATCCCCATAAAATATCACAGTGAGTTAAGTCATCAACCTAACCACTCAACCATCGCTCAACAACAGAGGGTTGGAATAAATATTTAGATATTTTCCCCCTTTTCCTTTTTCTTTTTTTTTATTTTCCCTTACCCTTTTTTTATTTTTTCAGTTTAAAAATAAAATTTTATCAGAAAAAGCCATTCTTAGGGGTGTAAAAATTTCCCGACTTAGTCGGGAATTGACATCGGGAGTCGGGGTCGGGATCGGGAGGCCAAAAACTCGGGAAATTTCCCGAGTCGGGTATCGGGAGTCGGGATACCCGAACATCACTAGTATGTGGATTTGGTTCCGTGACTTTTGCGCCGAGAACATTTGCGCCGCGACTTTTGCGCCGCGACTTATGCGCTGAGCGACTTTTGCGCCGGGGGACTTTTGCGCCGCGACTTTTGCGCCGCCACTATCATTAATAATTATGAAAAACTACAGCCGGACCTCACTATAGAAGATGTAGGATAGTTGAAATCTTCGGATATCAAGATCCAGATCCGATATCCGACTTAAGATTTTCGGCTATCCGGCCTTTTTCAGATCCAGATATCTGGACACGATAACCCTAGACTATAGTGCACCCTCTTCTGGCATAAATCATGCCTGAATAGGGGTAGGAGACCAAATATCCTGATTTGCAAGTCAGGTTCTTTGAAGATGACCCTCTAGGGGGTCGGTTTATTTTTCAACTTCCTCTAGGGGGTCGGTTTATTAGAGGAGGCTATTGAACTTCCCGAAATATTGTACTTCCTGAAATTACTTCAGCTCCTGGATAACATTTTTAAGGTGTACACTGGTCCGACTGTGGATATTATTTTTTTAAATTATTGCGGCGCAAATGTCGCGGCGCAAAAGTCGCGGCGCAAATGTTCTCGGCGCAAAAGTCGTGATACCGTGGATTTGAGGGGGGGGGGTTACTTGTCTTTTTGAGAATACGGTCCTTCATAAGTCAACAATTTATTTATTTAAAGCTCCATTTCTCTGAAAAGTGATATTCATAAAGGCTGACTGATCAGAAAAAAGTCAGGATATCAGAATATTTTTGTTTCGGATATCGGGTCCGGTTCTGGTTATCAACAATGACTTTTTAGGATTGGAGGGAAGTGAGAGGAATCAAGGGGGAAACATTTCTTATCCACGTCAGAGTTTGCCATGAAAAAGAAATGTTTCCCCTCTTGATTTTTTTCATTTTCCTCCATTTATCTCCTGTAGATTTTAAAATAAAATCATCTTTAAGAAATTTTTTGCAGATCATATACCAAAAGAAAAGAGTGTTGAACTCTTCAAATCTTTAACTGTTCATGAAAAAAAATTTGGAGAACGTATACGTATTGAAAGTGTTATTTTATCTAAACGAAAAGTTCAATATGAAGAGGTTTGTTTTTAATTAAAAAAATTTTTTTAAATAAATTTTTCAGCAAATAAAAGAAAATCCTTTCCATTACGATGTTTGGTTTGACTATACACGTCTTTTAATCAGTGAAGGGCAAGAACGGGCAGAGGTTGAAGATTGTTTTGAAAGGGCTATTGCCAATGTTCCTCCATATATGGTATATTTATAAAAGAATTTTAATGGGTCGATACCAGGGATGGATTTTCTACCTTCCCCTGAATTCCATCTTTTTGGGTCTTCCGCTTCCTTTTTTAAATCTCTTTTTTTCCTTCCGCCTTCCCCTTTTTAAAATCAAAAATTATCCTCCCTGCAATATACCTCTATTTTGGATACGTTTCTTAAATTAAGCAATATTCCCAATTTAAGCTACCCCCCCATTATAAGTTACCAAAGGTGTATCTTTTCAACCCAAACGGTGTATCTTATAGCAAGTTCCTATATATTGCCTTTCATCCCTGATGCCTAACCTTGACATAGATTTTAACTCTGACCCGAACCTTACAAACCCTAAAGGGCCGGGCTGCAAACCTAGTTTTAAATACCTATTTAATCTTTAAGGAAAAACGTTATTGGCGTCGTTATATCTGGTTATGGGTTTATTATGCAATATATGAAGAATTGGATGCAAACGATCCTGAACGTTGTAGAGAGGTTTTTTTGAAAAAAATTTTTAATACATTTTTTATAAAGGTTTGGACTGCTTGTTTAGATATAATTCCTCATCGTCAATTTACTTTTGCATTTATTTGGTTAATGTTTGCACAATTTGAATTACGACAACTTAACCTGACTGGGGCACGTAAAATTCTTGGCGTTGCAATTGGGAAATGCCCAAAGAAAAAATTATTTCGTGAATACATTGAAATTGAGCTTAAATTGAGGGAATTTGATAGGTTGATCTATTTAATATTTTAAAAATTTTGAAAATGCAATCCCATCGATAAGGGTATTTGCAGAAAAAAGAATCTTTTTTCTTACTTCCTAGCAAAAACAAAAATCCAAACGAAAACAAATTCAAAAAACAATTTATTTACAAAATTACATGGCAATACAATATTATTGGTACATTATATAGGGAAGAAATATCACAATTTAAGGTGGTTCATCTATATTTATTGCCTGTGTTCATCTATATGTATCCATCGTCCCGCAGCCATACATACTCATGCAGCAGCCATAGGAACGTCGACCTTGAACTCGCCAGAAGATCCAGGAGGGAAGATGGCCTTGGCGTCCCCAGCATCTGGAGGAGCCCCAGCGAAGCAGATCTCGAGCTTGTCATCACCTTTTGGAGGGCCGTTCTGGCGGATCACTTCGACTTGGGCAGCGGCGCCGGGCTCCACGAATCCGAAGACGGGGTTGACTCGGTAGTGCTCGTTATTGCTGGACTTGAGCTTGAAGGCGAAGCGGACCTTGAAATGAAAAAAGAACGATTTTGATTATAGGAATGATTTGAGAGTGAGAAAAGAGAAGATGATTTAAAAAAAAATAAATACTACCTCAGGGTTGCCGTTCATCAGCTGAAGCGAGACGTTGCCTCACGAAGCAGGGACCTGGATAGCAGCTGGCTCGACTTGGACCGCCATTGTTGTTGTGAAGATGGTTGTTGATTGTTTGAAGAGTTGTCGTTGTTGAGAGTTGGTGAACGATGATGATGACAAAGCTTTTATATCATGATTTCCGTGAAGAAATCACACACACCCAGCCAACTATAAAAGCCCACTGATTTCGTTCAAACGCAACACTTCACAAACGACAACTCTTCAAACAATCAACAACCAATCTTCACAACAACAATGGCGGTCCAAGTCGAGCCAGCTGCTATCCAGGTCCCTGCTTCGGGAGGCAACGTCTCGCTTCAGCTGATGAACGGCAACCCTGAGGTAGTATTTATTTTTTTCTTCAAATCATCTTCTCTTTTCTCACTCTCAAATCATTCCTCTAATCAAATTTTTTATATTTTTTCAGGTCCGCTTCGCCTTCAAGCTCAAGTCCAGCAATAACGAGCACTACCGAGTCAACCCCGTCTTCGGATTCGTGGAGCCCGGCGCCGCTGCCCAAGTCGAAGTGATCCGCCAGAACGGCCCTCCAAAAGGTGATGACAAGCTCGAGATCTGCTTCGCTGGGGCTCCTCCAGATGCTGGGGACGCCAAGGCCATCTTCCCTCCTGGATCTTCTGGCGAGTTCAAGGTCGACGTTCCTATGGCTGCTGCATGAGGATGGCTTCGGGACAATGGATGAACACAGATGATGATGATGTGAATAGGAAATATATAATTGTAAATTGTGATATTTCTTCCCTATATAATGTACCTATAATATTGTATTGTAAATAAATTGTTTTTGAATTTGTTTTTTTTTGTTTGTCTGATTTATTGAGTCATCTGTAGGGGTTTTTGAATGAATGCTTTTTCATTTTTTGATACACCACACCTTCCATTTTTTTCTAACCTTTTCCTTTCCACCTTTTCCTTTCAAGCTTAAAGAGGAGTTGATTTTTGAGTTTTATCCCAGCTATTCCAATTAAGTTTGCGCAATACCTCGTCTAAAATTTATTTTCCAAAAACTTCAAAAATGTCCGGACACGTGTTTGGCCTTCGTAACCTTCGAGAGTCTTTCGTCATCAGAGAGAGTTTGATTTTTCAAAGAGTTGTTGTCTTCTCTTCTTTTTCATAATAAGAGTTGTCCTCATTAATCCACAGAAAACCAGCTTTTAAAAATAATTTGTAAAAAAAATTTTTTTTCTCTAGATGCCGTAAATTATACGAACAATTTTTAAAATTTGTTCCCGATGATAGTATGACATGGATGAAATATGCAGAATTAGAAAATTTATTGGGCGATGATGCTAGAGCTAGAGCAATATTTCAAATTGCTGTACAACAGCCAATGTTGGATATGCCTGAAGTTTTGTGGAAAGCTTATATTGACTTTGAAATTGAACAAGGGGAAAATGAAAGGGTTAGAATTTTGTATGAAAGTTTGTTGAGACGTACACAACATATAAAGGTTATTTTAAATTTTTTGTTAAATTTAGGGAAATTTTGGACAATTTTGTTGATTTTTCATATATTTAGTTGTAGTTAGACAGCTTTTTAGCTGTAGTTAGAGATATAAGATACCTCCGATACATATTAGATAACCTCATTGTAAAATTTAATTTGTGTGACTGCCTTTTTTAGAGCTGCTTAAGAGATACACCTCTATCTAATCTTCTACCCCTCATTATAAAATATGATTTTATCCGCTACAAGGGTGTAAGTTATGTTTGGCTCTATTACTGTGACAAAAATAATTTCGGATTTTCTGGACCTGTTCATTTTTAATTGTTTTTAAAAATATTATTTTGTAATTTAAAGGTTTGGATAAGTTGGCTAGAATGGGAAACATCAAATGAAGAATTCGATAAAGCTAGAGCTTTGTATAAACGTGCAAATCAAGCATTGGAAGGATCACCAGCTGAAGAACGTCTTTTACTTTTGGAACAATGGAAACAATTTGAACAACAACACGGAACTGAAGAAGAACAAAAATTTGTTGAAAAAATGATACCAAAACGTGTAAAGAAGAGAAGACAAATAATTGCTGTGGATGGGACAGATGCTGGATGGGAAGAATATTTTGATTATATATTCCCTCAAGATCAAGGTTTCTTTATAGCGAATAATAAATAGGATTGTCGGTTAGGCACAGTACTGTGAGGGTATCTGAAAATTTAGGTTCGATCCTTAGGTGCTTTCTGTCTTCGTCTGAAAAAGGGAATTCCAATTTCTTGACTCAATTTCAAAATAGTTTTTGACTTACAATTTTTTGGTTCAAGCATTAGAAGGTGTATCTTAGGTTTAGAGAGAATAATAGGATTGTCGGTAGGATCAGAACTGAGGGTCAAGAAATACGAATTCCCCATCAAGGTGGGGGACTTGATGAGATCTTCAGATGTTCAGGTCTTCAGATTTTCGAAGAATTTCCTATGCCCGACATATCGAAGCTTATCTAAAATTAAATAAAAAAATTTTTCAGCCTCAAAAATCAATTTCAAATTACTCGAAGCTGCCCGTGCTTGGCGAGAGAAGCAAGCATTGGCTATGCAACCTGAGCCACACGAAAGAGAGGACGAGGAAATGGAAGAATCTTAAATTTATTTGGCGGGTTTTGTTCTTAAAAATATTTTGAAGTTTTGAGAGATCAATTTATTCTGTTAGATCTCTAATTAAAAATTTTGTATTTAAACTTTAAATTATTCTTTGGTTTATAAAAATTAAAGATATTCTTTGATTTATTATAAGGTTGACGAGCTTACTTTATGGTAAGGGACCCGAGACTTTTTTTTCTAAAATCGTCAGTTTGGCATTTCGACACCTTGAGGATTTGACTTCTCGGCTATTACGGAGACAAGAAACCCCACTTTTAATTTTAATCTACCCCTCCTTCAAAATCTCAAGAGAAAAAACAATCCAAAACCTTTACCATTAAAAAGCCGAATAATAATGAGAAAATAGAATTGATTCGTGTGATTTAAAAAGAAACGGAAAACTTTGGCTAGCATTTTCCAACATTTACTGGGGGAAGAAAAATAAATCGGAAAATAAATGAAAACACAAAATATTTTTTTTTGATATTATTCTTTCTCCATAAATCCTTTTTTTATATTTTCCATTCAATCCTTTGCTTATTCCGTTCCATTTTTGTTGGTGTTGTTTCCAGATCGAGTTTCAACTAAAAAAATTTTTTTTAGAAATTATCCAAACCCTATTCTCCCTTTCTAAAAACTTACTATAACTTCCAACGTCAATCTGTTCTGGAAGCTCTGCAATTGTCACATCAAAACGATCTTGTACACTGTTCAATGTATTCGCGTCAGCCTCGTCTGAAACAAATGTGATAGCAAGTCCTTTTGTACCAAAACGTCCAGCACGAGCAACCTAAAAGTAGAATCATGATTTTTTGAGTAAATGAAAATATAGGGTTCTGACTCAAGACTTCGTCCCATCAGAACCATTTCTGATTCGAAAGGGAAAAATTTCCTGAGGTGGACACCCCAAACCTCATTCTGACTTCCCAGCCCTAGTTAACATATTTAATAAAAACTCACTCTATGCAAATATGTATCAGTATCTTCAGGCATGTCATAATTGAAAACAATGTTGACACGCTCAATATCCATTCCACGTCCAAACAAATTAGTCGCAACAAGAATTCTCTTCTGAAAATCTTTAAATTGTTGATAACGGCCAAGACGTTCATCCTGCGGCATTGAACGATGAATGGCGATGGAAGGAAAGTTTTGTTCAATGAGGAGTTGATTCAAAGCTCGGCAACGAGTGACGGAACGCACAAAGATGACAACCTTAAAATGATTTTCAAAAAAATTTTTCCAAGGAAAAACCTGATTAAATTCCAAAGCATCGAGCAAATCCAACAATTTCCTGTTCTTTTCATTCTCCTTCAGACGAACATAATATTGTTGAAGACCGTGAAGTGTAAGTTTAGCCTCATCGTCAACATAAACTTCCATAGGCTGAAAATTTAAAAAATTAGAAAAATAAAAGGAAGTAAACACAAAATCAGACAAAATGAATGATTAAAGAAAGAGAAATTGCATTCAAAAAAGATTTTCTGATAGACTTGTAATGATTCCTTAATTATCCCCAAGGCTACAAAAATCAAATTTTTTGACTAAAAAACTAAAAATTTCTGTTTTTAAGGATATCACTTATTTGTGGTACTTAAAAAATGCCAAGTCCAAATTGTCAGAAGTGGGAGAAAGTAAGTAAATTCTTCATCAATTATAACAATAATAATATAATAAAGCCTTCAGCGGAGCCTCTCGAGCGTCTCCGGCCATCAAAAAAAACATTAAAAACAGGCCAAGAGCAACTGCACGATTTCTGTTCAAATTTTATTAATTATCTAAAGAATCTTTTCAAAAATCAAACCTCGTAGCAATTACTCTTCTACATCCAAACAACACGTTCCAACGGTGAGAAGGAATTGTGTGTCTCTCACCGGCGGCGATCGAGAGACATCTTATACACCAATGACTTTTTAAAAATATTTTTTGTTGTTTTTGATCAATTTGAGTTCTCAATTTGAGTGGAAAATTTTTGAATTTGGTTAAAAATGGTTGGAATACGACGCGCGAAGAGAAAGAATTATTCCAAAAAATCTTTCAAGTCTTTGCCAATATATACAAAAATCCGCTCCAATATATACAAAACAAATGTTTGCCGTAGTGTTTGCACAAACGACGGTCTCGAAAGTTTAAAGATAGCCCGGAGAGTATTTTCCAACAGAGCAACAACACAAATAAACTTTTTTTTGAGAAGATGACTCACTTCTTGCATAAATTTCTTGCAGACGACTCGAAGCTCCCGTGGAAGTGTTGCGCTGAACATCATCACCTGTTTCTCCTGTGGTGTCATTTTGAAGATTTCCTGGACATCATGACGCATATCTAACAAAAAATAACAGAATAATTTTAATTAAATCAAGTTTTGACTAACCAGCGTCCCCAATCATTTTGTCACATTCGTCTAAAACGAAGAATTTGATGTTTTTCAGCTTCAATTGTCCTGTACGTCCCAACGCCAGCAGACGCCCTGGAGTGCCAACAACAATGTGCGGAGTGTTCTTAGCCAAAGTTTCCTCGTCCTTCTTGATCGGCATACCACCAAAGAAAACCGAAACCTTAAAAGAAGAGGTTTTATAGTTGAACAACATTTTACTAAAAAACCTTCGTTCCGGGCATATATTTGCTAAATCTTTCATATTCCTTCGAAATTTGAAAAGCAAGTTCGCGAGTGTGACACATAACGAGAACAGAGACTAAAAAAGGAAAAAGTTTAAGATTCAAAGAGTTGAAGAACTAACCCGTCCCGTCAACTGGAGTCAATTGTTGGAGTGTTGCCAACACAAATACAGCTGTCTTCCCCATACCAGACTTTGCTTGGCAGACAATGTCCATACCCAAAATTGCCTGAGGAATGCATTCATGTTGGACTAAAAAGGAACAAATATAACTTGTCAATCTCATCTTCAAGGTAAACCTTCAGAAGGATGTTCAAATCCACAGTCGATGATCGCACGAAGAAGTTCTGGACGAAGCATTAAATCTCGGAATCCGCTGCTGTGAATACTGGCATAATTACCCTTAAAGAATAAAGTTAGAATAGTCTTAGACAGCAAGAGAACCTTTATCTTCTTTGAAGCATCTCCATTTTCAGCAATAGTTTTAGCCTGTTCTTGAGTTTCGTCTTGCTCCTCTTCATAATCCAAAAGTTGTTCCTCGTCCATTTTTTAATTAAAAGTTAAATTGAATAAAAGAATTTGTTTGTAAAAAATCAGATTTTATGTTTCTAAGGAGTTAAAATTAATAAATTAGTTGTTAACAAAAACTTTAACAGGTAGAGGTAAATTCTGGTTTTTAATGCTAGGGCTTATTTGGCTAATTTGCTTCACTAGACACACCAAAATCAATAAAAAGGAATCTGTGCGGTAAAGCTAGCATTTAATATGCTTCAGCCAAAGAAATGAGAACGTGTGCAAGGTGGATTTCGTTATTAAAGAATGGCGGATAAAAATTAAACATTATGACAATTTTGTAAAATTAAATCTTTTTAGGCAATTATTCAAAATTACTAACTATTTTCAGTTCTCTTTCTCTAACCTTTCCATTTTCCGGAAAGGACGTTTCATCACTAATTTCATCGCTAAGTATGTTTCATCGCCAGAACATTTTTTGACTCTACAGTAACTATTATCATTTCTCTCTCTCATTTTTCTTTTTTTTTTCTCTAACTTTTTCATTTTCTGGAAAGGACGTTTCATCGCTAATTTCATCGCTAACTATGATTCATTGCCAATTAATCTACTGTCTCGACAGTAACTATTTTTATTTCTCTTTCTCATTTTTCTTTCTCCATTTCTCTATCTTTATTTTTTTGTAAGAGCTAACAAGACGTTAGAGTCTCCATTAACAATTTTATTTCTAAATAAAACGATTTTTTGCTTAATTTTTTTAAACTATTTTCGATGAATTTCATTATTATTTATTTCTTCTATATTTTAACCTCATTTATTGTAAATTGTGCTCCTTCTTTAAATATTTCTTCTTCAAATTTTCTTTCAAATGAGGATGATTTACATTGGATTTTTCGACTTTTGCCTATTTTAGTTGGTTATGGCTTTCTAATATTTTTCTGTTTTTATTTAATTCGTTGGGTGGAGAAGAAATCTAAAGGTTTTTTTAATTAAAAAATTCTAAAAAAAAATTTTTTTAGACAACGATTCTTTTCTTCAACAAAATTTTTTTCTTCATTTTCTTCGTCTTTTTGCTATAGGCCAACCAGAATATAAACAATTACCACAACAAAATTTAAATAAAAACAAATCAATTCCTCCTTCTTTTTCGCTACGACGGAAAAGAAAATCTTTTTTTGAAGATGCAATTTATTTTTCAATATTTTTCATAGGAATTCAGGTTTTTCTTTGACATTTTTAGTTTTTAAAATTAATTTTTTGGGTTTAAAAATAACCTTGGGGGGGGGGGTATGATGTTATAATACCAAAAGCTTGTAATACCAAAGCTTGTAATACCAATAGCTTGAAATACCAAACCCCCAAAAGATGTTGAAATACCAAACCGTGGAAAATAGCCTGTAATACCAAATAAATACCAAAACTATTATTATTCAATTTGTTACTAAAACTGTGGAATTTTTTGTTATTTATCTCCCGGCAGAATAACTTGTTGGTTTTAGCCTGTTGGCTTTTAGTCTTCGCTGGGAAAACTGTTCTTGTGACAAGCTGATTTTTGGAGTAAAAAATTCGAATATACAAATAATAGCTCATTTGAAAGGGCTCGGCGAGCTGAGTTGAATAACACCAAAATCAGCTCGATTAGATGATTATGAACAAAGTTATGACCAACGGAATCTTCGCTGGAAAAACTGTTTTTGTGCTGCTACGGAGGGTAGGCCGGGCATGGTCTTCGCTACACAATGGCCGTGCTTCGCTGCGGTCGTGCTCGCTTCGCTCGCGTGACCGTAGCGAAGCGGCGGCCGTCGTTCCGCTCGACATGCCCGGCTTCCTCCGCAGCGGCAAAAACTTTTTTCCGCGAAAACCTTATGTGAGAGGTTTCCACACTTTGTATTATGAAGGATTTTGGAGGAGGATTATATTATACACAAAGAGGAGTTTTATAAAATTTTTTCAACGGTTTGGTATTTCAACAGCTTTTGGGTATTTGGTATTACAAGCTTTTTTGGTCACTTTGGTATTTCAACATCTTTTGGGGGTTTGGTATTTCAAGCTTTTTTGGTCACTTTGGTATTTCAACAGCTTTTGGGGGTTTGGTATTACAAGCTTTTGGTATTATAAAACGTTCCGCCTTGGGGGATGGGCATTAAAAATATTACTTTTTTACCCCTCTATTATATAGCTTTTACTTTCGATTATAGTGTGAACCACTTGTGGTCAAGTTGGGAGTGTTCCTGGCTGCCACTTTTTGGGGTCGAGAGTTCGAATCCGTCTCTTGTATTTTTAGCGATTTTTTTCCTATAATCTGTTTTAATGTTACTTATCTTTCTAAAGTATTTTTGTTGGCAAAAAAAATTTTTATTAAATTTTAATTAAAAAAAATAAATTTAGTTTTCAGTTTTGTCTAGTCTGTATGGGCTTTTATCAAGAAAGAATAATTACACAACCTTACAAAATTCAAAATATGACAAAAAAAGAATTTTTTAAAGATGCTCAATTTTTAGTTTTTGCAAATAGATTGGTTAATTTTTATTAAAAAATATTTTGGAAAAATTAAAAAAATTTTTGAATGAAATTTGAAAGGAAAATAAAATTAAAAAATAATTATTTTAAAATGAGGTAAACAATTTTGATTTTTAAATAAAATTTTAAATAGTTTATTTTAAAGGTTGCTTTAGTTTTGGCTGGAATTTATATTTTGTTTCGGTGGAAAAGGTTAATTAAATTTTAAAAATATCTTTTAGAATTTTTTGCGGACAAAATTTGCGGACAGTTTTCTCACATTAAAAAATTTGCGGACACATTTTGCGGACATTTTTCTCACATTAAAAAATTTGCGGACACATTTTGCGGACATTTTTTTTTATCTTAATATGCTTGGAAAATGTTTTCTGCCCTTAAAAGTTTTTCTAGCTGATAAAATTTTCTTAATTTTCAGTTTACCAGTTCATGTCCCTCCTCTTTATCTTCATTCTTTCACTTCTTTTTCAAATGTGCTTTCTTCTTGGTGTCAATACGAGGCTCTTAAATATGTTAGCTTTCCAACACAGGTTTTTTAAAGTTAATTTTTGAGAAAAATCAATTAAAAATTTCTCAGACAGTCTGTAAAGCAAGTAAATTAGTTCCAACAATGATTATGGGAAGAATTGTCCGTAAACGTCAATATTCAATTAGAGAGTACATTTTGGCTTTTATTATTGTTTTTGGGGCTTCTATTTTCTTTTTATCTTCAACTAGGCAAATTAAGGTTTATTTTTGATTTTTGCGGATAATCCGCAAAATTTTCTCAAAAATTAAAAAAATATTTTTTAGAGAGAAAGTAACGACAAAAGGAGAGAAGAAACAAATTCAGCTGTTTCTGGATTTATATTAATGTGTGGATATTTATTACTTGATGCTTTTACTCCAAATTGGCAAAAAAGTAATGAAAAAATATTTTTTATTTTATAAAAATCAAGTTTTTTTTCCTATTAAATTTGCATCAAATTTAAAATGGGTCAAGACTCGTAATGGTCAGTAAAGCAGGAATACTGTCACTCTGACCCTTACGAGCCCTTCAGAAATACTGACCCTTATTAGCCCTTTGACCCTTACGAGCCCATGACCATTTTAAAATTACTCAAAGTTAGAAATATTTTTGGAATTATTCCTTTGTATCAAAGGTTTATCCAAAAGGGACAGAAGCAATTAACCTCTAGATACGACCTTCCGTTCAACTTATGTCAGAAAATTAAAAATTACTTTTTTTAAAGAATTATTTGAACAACCCCCACGTCTCCACACTAGTCAAATGATGTTTGCAGTTAATTTATTTTCTGTAATTTTGTGTTTAATTTCTCTATTACAACAAGGAACATTACTTACTTCAATTAATTTTATTTCTAAACATGAAAATATTTTTGTTGATTGTTTACTGCTTTCGTTGGGTTCTGCTTTTGGGCAGGTTTATTTTTTAATTAAAAAGCTGGGCAGGAATATGAAATTCTGTTTTAAAGACTCGGAATTTTTAAAAAATAATTTTAAGAGGCTTTCATCTCATAATTTAAAATAAAAGTTGAAAAAATGTTCGAAAAACAAAATACTCTCGAAAGGACTCGAACCTCTCAAGTAAAGGGCTTGGACAGACACCGATCCCGCTACACCACAAAGCTTGTACTACAAAATTTTTATTTTTAGGTTTTTATTTTAATGACTGTTAAGCGGTTTGGCCCTGTTGTTCTTTCGGTATTTATTTTCTCAACTATTTTTAATTTTTTCCCCTAAATTTTCCCAAAAATTTTCAGTTATTGATGACAATTCGTCAAATTCTATCAATTTTCTTTTCAACCTATAATTTCGGTCATTCAATTACTTTAATAGGATTTTTCGGGTTATTTACAGTTTTTGGTGCAATTATTGTTGATATTTATTCAAAATATAGAATTAATACAGGAAGAAGGCTTAGATAATTTATTTTTAATAATTTTACCTCCTAATATTTTTTAAAATTCCTATAATTATTTTTAATTTTGCTTTTTTTTCCCTTGAGAAAAGGTACGTTAGTTTTAATTTTGAAACAAACAATTTTTGTATTTACCCTCATGGTGGGGTTGTTGGTTTCGAACAGAAGAACCAAGGATTTTTTGGTTCCGAAGATTTTCACAGAACCTAACCCCATTTATTAGTGCAATTTTAAACAGCAATTAAATCTTTAATTTTTTTCTTAAAATTTTTTAAAGTTTTTGAGATTGACTTAAATATAGACAAATAAATCTTATAAAATGGAGACCTTTAATAAAATGACAATTGGGAATGTTTCAACTATTTTTGCTTTTATTCTCCACAGGTGACAAATATTTAAGAATACCATTTGGAGTATTTGAAGGAGAACTTTTTTCTTCTTTATTATGTTTTAAAAGTCTTTGACTACACTTAACACCTTTTGAACGAAGTTGACTGGATAATTTTGGGGAAGGACGACTAAAAAATAAATTAAAAAAATTTTTCTGAAAAAAACCGTCGCTTTTTTCCACTGCTCCCAGGCGTTCTCTGATTTTGGAAAGAGGCTGATAAATTCCTTGATTTTCCTGGAGTTCTGTGTTGATTTTCGTTACCTTCAATTCTTTAACAAAAAAATTTTATTAATTTTAAATTAAAAAATTCAACAAACCTAGATATTTTACTGGCAGGAGTAAATGTTGTATTCCCTTTCAAAACAAGCTTTTTTGGAGTTGTAAAGTTGAAAGACACTTGATTTTGAGAAAGAGAATTCTCTTTTTTAGAGAAATAAATAGCTGGTAAATCCTCCAAGAAAGATTTTTTGTCATCAAAAATAAAGTTGGGAGGTGTACTAAATTTAATTAAAAATTAATAGTCAAACTCAAACTTCAATTTAGATGGTCGTTCAATGGGTGGGTAGGGGTTGCTGTTTAACAATGGAACCTTCATAACTCTAATTCGAGTACTTCTTTCGGTACCGATCGATAAAGCATCATCGATTTACTGTAGAAAATTTTCGGTTTTTTTAGGAATGTGAAACTAAAAAGTTACAGGGTATCAAAGTTACTCTAATTTAAAATAAACCTCAATATAAAATGATTCCTCATGGGGAAATCTTATAATGAAGTCCGACTACCATTAAACATCTTTAAAATAAAAACCTTCTTCCATCAAAATTTGTTAGCTTCAAAGAACACTTTATTTCATTTATTGTTTGATTGTCCAACATATTCTCATTTTGTATTGGCGGTAACAAAGTTGGGTAATCAAATTTGATTGGAATTCCAGTTTTACTAGAAGTCTAAAAATAAATTAAAAATAAAATTATAAAATCAACAAACCTCCTTTGAATATTCATTGTCCGTTCTTTCATTATTGGACCAAATCCGAATATAATCGCGACCAAGAGTAAGAAAGTATTTTCCGCTTTGACTCCATTGAACACATTCAAACTAAAATTTAAATCTATAAAATTTTTATAAAAAATAGAGAAAAAACCTCGAATTCATTTCCTTCCAATGCAAATTTTGGATTTGGAAGAAAACTTTTATTTGAACTTTTAAAAAGGTTTTGCCGGTAGTTACGACTTTCCTTAAAATATTATTTAAATTTAAAATGAAAAAGAAATATAAATAACCTGTAAATCCCAAACGTACGCTCTATTTCGAGATGAGCCACAAATTAAATGATCGGAAATGGAAGATGTGGCACATTGGACGTAGAATGAATCAATACCATGTCCATTTAAGGAGCGTACTTAAAATTTGAAAAATTATCTTTAAAAATTTTTTGAATGAGTTTTAATGAAATTTTAAAAGGTTTTGGATTGAAAATATGCGAAGAAAAATTTTAAACTGAATTTATAACGATCAGAGTCGAACCTAGGCAATTAAAAAAACAAGCAAGCTACTAAATCACTAGACCACAGAAGAACATTTTTATTAAAAAATTTATAAAACTAATCCAAGTTTTTTACTTTTCAAAAAAAACCTGGTAAATCACAGCTAGATACCGGCAAAAATTCATGTATTTTATCATCTGTACAGGAAGCAAAGAATGAAGAATTAAAGCGATCCCAACACATTGACGCTATTCCCGGCTCTTTTCCTCCTTCTTCTTGTGGAACTTTGAGTGTTCTTAAAGCAGCACCAGTAATATAACGCAAATCCCAAATTCGAATCCCGCTAAATTTTTCTTAATTTAGTAAAAATTATTTTAAAAAACCTTGAAGCGGAGGAGGATGAAGAAATGACATAATTCTCTCCAAAATGCAATAAGCCTTGAAAAATAAAATATTAAAAATAAATTCGTTAATACCAGTAATAGAAGCAACAGTTTTCGAACGTTTACAAGAAGAAGGAGAAACAACTAAAAATTTTTTTATCAAAATTAGTCAAGCTATGAACAAACAGGCATGGTAATACTTTGGAAGTTGTCCCCCTTACAATTTTTCCCTTCCTAGAATATTTCTCTGATCATTTTTACAAATTCCTTCAGTCTTTCCCTTTATCCTAACATAAGGCAATTATCAGATGACTGTCAAAAGTTTGTACAAAAAGTTTTATAAAGACGTAACCAAGTATTACCTTTTTATTACCAAAAAACGGAGAAATAGGAAAGAAAAAAGGATAGCTCTTCAAAGTATTACCACCAGCCCTTCTAAAAAAGCTAGAAAAAAAACCTCCAGGAGATTCATGCGCAAATGCAAAAGTTCTTGATGGAGCTAAAGCTCCCCATTCGGAGCCATCAATTGTTATTTGCTCATAAGGAGGGGAGCGCAAATCCCATCCAAGGATTGAACCATCACGAGAGCCAGAAACTAATAAATCTTTAAAAGAAATTTAAGAAAAAACCCTAAGAAAAATACTTGGATTTCCAGGACAAACACTGGCACATCTAACAGAACATGAATGCCCAACAAGACAAGAAATTGGCTTTCCATTTGTAATATCAATTAAATGAATGTGTGATTTGCCTGATAAAGCAATTAACCATTCTGGAATTTCAGGTAAAAAGCAAAAATCCAAAATGACGCTATGAATACGACTACCTTAAATATATATATTTAGTAAGAGAGGTAAAAATTTAGACAGGGCATCCTGCGATCTCCTGGCCAGGCGCAGGTAATTCTACCTAGAGACCGGCAAAATCGAACTTCCGGGATCCCGAGTAGGAAAATCCTGTCCAGCGCCGGTCTCTAGTTCTACCTATGATAGCTATTGGGGCGCCGGTTTCACCTTCTTTTAATAAAACTCCCGCCTAGTAAGCGTTTTAAATGTTGGAAAGATAAATCTCCCTTGTCCCATACAATTAAAAAAATTAAAAACCTCTTCTAATAAATTTATATTTATCTAAATCTTCTTTTGCGTCGAATAAAGCAATAGATCCCATTTCATTTCCCAAAACAAAAATGTGTTCCTGTTGAGAATGTGGTGAAAATCTTGCTGATACCCATTCAAACTAAAATTTTAAAAATAAAAATTAAAAAGAAAATTAAAAAGTTACGTCGTTTGCATGGGGAACTGAACAAAAAGATTGAATAAATTCGTCTGGGCATTTGTTGTAAATATATTTGTTGCTTGAATAATTTGAATAAAGTTGATCATACATTCTCTCCAAAATTTACATTAGTTAAGTAAAAATAAAGAGAAACATTCGAAAAAAAGAGATCAATAAGTGATTTTTATTAGAAAATTTATTCTACGCTATTTTTGGCACTTAATTTTGTTTTTGGCGAAATGTTTAATTTAAAGCTCAAAAAGTAGTATAAAAGGGCAATGTTAAATATTGTTTTTATTTTTCTACGTTTTTCTACATTTTATCGAGTTTTTATTTTTTTTCTGTTGGTTCGTTACGTTAGTTGGTCTTTCTTGTTCTTTTGTCTTTCATTTGTACTTTTAAAAGTTTAATATTTTGAGCGTCATTTGTGCTCTTCATTTCCTTTCATATTTTTAAGACTAGGTGAGTGCATAAACAATTTGATATGTGTTAGTGTATTCACTTTTACTTGAGTATAAATTCTTCATATTTTTCTCCATCATTCTTAAAAATCCTCTTAGTTTTTAAATAAACTTGTTAAATTTTCAGACAATTAAAACGTTTATTTTCTATAATCAAAACAATTATGGCTGTTCCTCCCGATGTTATCGAGAAGATCGAGGCTGGGTACAAAAAGTTGCAGGTACAGAAAGTTCCAAACATTTTTAACTGTTTTTCAACTTTTAGGAGGCACCGGAGTGCAAGTCTCTTCTCAAGAAGTACTTCACTAAGGAAGTTATGGACCAGTGTAAAGGGCTCAAAACTAAGCTTGGTGCTAACTTGCTTGATGTGATCCAGTCTGGAGTTGCGAATCTTGATAGCGGTGTTGGTGTTTATGCGCCTGATGCTGAGTCTTACACTCTCTTCAAACCGCTTTTTGACCCGATTATTCAGGTTGTTTTTGGATGTTTTAGTTATTTGACGTTTTTTCAGGACTACCACAATGGATTTGGACCTGACCAGAAGCAGCCGCAAACTGACTTGGGTGAAGGAAAGACTCAGCTTTTGCCTGATCTGGATCCTGAGGGTAAATTCATCAACTCGACTCGTGTTCGATGTGGGCGTTCTCTTCAGGTTGCTTTGTCGCTAAAACTTTTTTATTTTTCTTTTCCAGGGATATCCGTTCAATCCGTGCTTGACTAAAGAGAATTATACGGAAATGCAGGACAAAGTTAAGGGAGTCTTTGAGCAGCTTAAGTCTGGTGGGTTTCCTTTTTTCCTTCAAATCTACATTTTTAATATTTAGATGCTGAGCTTGGTGGCACCTATTATCCTTTGGAGGGGATGACCAAAGAGGTTCAAACTCAATTGATCAAGGATCACTTCCTCTTCAAAGAAGGAGATCGCTTTTTGCAAGCTGCGAATGCTTGTCGTTATTGGCCAACCGGGCGTGGAATCTACCATAACGACAAGAAGGTTAGAATTTAGAAAAAAGTTTGTTATTCATCTATTTTTCTAGACTTTCCTTGTTTGGGTCAATGAGGAGGATCATCTTCGCATCATTTCTATGCAAAATGGAGGCAATGTTGGCCAGGTGCTTGAGCGTTTGATCAAAGGAGTTAAGGCAATTGAGACTAAGGTTCCGTTCTCTCGCGATGATCGTCTTGGCTGGCTTACTTTTTGCCCTTCGAACTTGGTTTGTTTTGAATTTATTGTGACATTTTATCTTTGCTCTTTAAGGGAACGACCGTTCGTGCATCTGTTCATATCAGATTGCCAAAGATTAGTGCCAAACCGGAATTCAAGAAGTGAGTTTTGTATTTGCAAGTGAGATATCTCAATCAAAAATATTTTTAAGGATCTGTGATGAGATGAAGTTGCAAATCCGTGGCATTCATGGTGAGCACTCGGATTCTGAGGGCGGCGTCTACGACATTTCTAACAAGGCTCGCCTTGGGCTTACCGAGTTTGAAGGTGGGAAAGTTGAAGAAAAAATTTTTGTATAACTTTTATTTTCAGCTGTCAAGCAGATGTACGACGGTGTGAAGAAGTTGATTGAGCTTGAGAAAGCTGCCTAGATGATGGGAAATAATATGCTGCTATAGGAGTATAATTAATTATAGGTGATAAAATAAGTACTTAAAATTATAGTTAAAAAGGATGATACTCTTTTGAATATAAAATGTTAAAATTTTTTCGTGCATATTATTTGTCTTTTTTGTCGATATTTGCGAATAAATTGCATAATTAAATTTGTTTTTTTGCTTATAAGTTTTTTAAGCTTTTAATGTTTTATGAGTAAACTGTCATTTGTGTAGTAGGGTTTTTCATCCAGATAATGAGGTTGGTCTTTCAAGGTTTGTTGAGTTTTTGTGGACTAGCACGGCTAGCTTTCTGTCTTGTAGAAAGTATATTGTTCGGCAAAGCGGATAGAAATCGTATGTTGTGTGTCAGATTTCGATTTTGTAAATTTTTACCAAATCGACCCCTGCAGTTTGAAAAATTGACTTGATCGAAAATGTCCAATCCCAAAATGTCCAATGGTATAGAAACACTTGCCCCTTATGATTCAGTTACAGAGAATCGTCTGGTTTATATTGTGCTGCATGAGCCCTTTCCTGCTTTGGTAAAACGAAGCTGTTGACTTATAAGGAACACTTTTTTACTCTATTAATTTTTAATGAGAGTAAATGAGTAGCTTTAACTTTTTTTTAATTTTTTAATTGCAGCCTTTTTTAAACAATTAGTATATCAAAAGTCACAAATTATCGATTTTAATTTAATTTTCAATTATTTTTTTTTATTAATTTATATTTTAATTTTTTTAGATATTATTTTCTTTTAATATTTCATGAGTGCTTCTTCTTCCTCTAATTGTGACAATCAAAATAAAACTGCTAAAACAAAATTAAATGAAAATGGAGAAGAAAAAGAAAAGGAAGAAAATTCCATTCCTGGACCAAAACCTCCAAAAACAGCCAAAAAAGAATATATCGAAATTCTTTTAAATCCTCCCGAAGAAAGAATAAAAAAGAAGAATAAAAATATTTGTGAACGTATTCTTTCGAGACTTAAAAATCGAGAAGTTTTTGGAAATTCTCTTTCTTTGCCCAACATTTTTGAATTAAATAAAAGAAATTCTTCTGTTCATCAAAGAGATTTAAAAGCACATACAGGCTGTGTTAATGCTGTAGATTTTTCGCCAAATGAAGAATGGATTGTTAGTGGTTAGTTTATTTTTCTGTTTTTTTGGGGAGTTTTGGTTATTTTATGTAGAGTATCCGAGTAGTTTTAACAGGCTTGGGTTTTTTCTGTCTACTAGGGCTTGAACTCGGGATCCCAATACTTGTGAGGAGAATCCTAATATTTTAATACTTACGCGATAGACTCGGTGTGAACCGAGTCGGAGTTTCCCAATTACTCGATTTCCCGATTACTCGCTCGATTTTTCCCGCAATTTCTCGGTACTCGACGTACTCTAATTTTAAGTTCTCTAACGGAACTCCTTTCCGATCCTCACCAATTCCCTTAATTTAAAATTTTATTTTTAACAAGGATTTTGTTTTTAATTAAAAATGAAAGTCAGGTTGAAACACGTTTTGTAATACTTCATAGAGTTGGAGAATCACTTCTTGATCTATTAACGGATTTTTCTGAAATCCCGCGGACTCCGGAGGATTGCTCTATTTCTTTCGGACTCCGTGATCCCGCAGACTCCGGAATCCCAATAATATCATTTTTCGCCCTAAACTCAGTGTCAAGATGCGCCAGTATCCATAAAAATCTTGATGGGATCCAACCTCAGATTGCATAAATATTTCATATATTTTATGATCCTAATTTTTTAAAAATTAAAATTTTAAATTTCCAGGAGGTGACGATTTAAAAGTCCGCCTTTGGAAAACAGTTGATTGCTGTACTTCTGAAACTCCCTCATTAACTAGCGTTACGATGAAATCAATTCATCAATCAAATATTTTTGCTCTTCGATTTTCTCACAAAACTGAAAGAGTTTATTCTGCTGGGAATGACCATCGACTTTTGGTTCATGATATGAGGTTTTTTTGAAAAGAATTTTTTAATTTAAAGAAAATTGTTTTTTAAAGGACTCTTGGACGTCTTTGTACTTATCGGGCAGCTTCTTCTATTTATCATATTTCCACTCATGTAATTTGTTTTTTTGTTAATTTTGGCTTTTTTGAGACTTTGTTTAGGGTTTTCTTTAAGTTTAATTTATTTTTATGGATTAGAAAAGCGCGTGCAGATACACACAAAGCTCTCTGTTTTATAACTTTAGTACTAGATGCCCTCCAATTTAAGATACATTTTTAAAAAATTAGGTTGGTCACTTGGGTAGGAAAATTTCTTAACATAAGCAATGCTAGGATACTTCTCGTTATAAAATATAATTTCTTATGCCCTAACAAAGGAGAGTGCCTTGGGTGTCCGCGGGACTTCGGAATTAATGATCTACCTGCCTACCAAATTTTACTCCGTAGTCCCGCGGACACCCCCTATACTCTCCTTTGTAAGGGGGTATCCTATAATGGGGTTAGACTTTCTAATTTGTTTAAAAAACCCCAAAAAAATTTTTTTCCTAAATTTTCAGCCAGTCGATGACAACATGATTGCAGCCTCTTCAGATGATCGAAACGTTTATTTGTTTGATTTGCGGGGTGGGGAAGGTGATGGAATGTGTACAAAATTAAAACAGGAGGGACGTGCTTATTCTGTTTGTTGGAATCCTTTAAATCACAATATTGTAGCTGTTTGTAATGAAAAAACAGGATTGGTTATTTATGATTTGAGGATGGGAATAAAGTAAGGAGAAAATTAATTTTTATAAGGGGAATTTATTTCTCTAACTAAAAAAATAATTTTGTAAGGCTGGTCAGGTTTGAGGGTTTTTTACTGGGAAAATGTTGAAATTTATTTTTTGTTAGTCTCAAAAAAAGCTTATAAATTTAAAGTTTTCTAAAAAAGCTAGGGTTGACTCCCAATTCTAATTAGGTCTGAAATTCGTATATTCTCTATAGGATTACTAAAATGGTATGACTAGGTCCGAAAGGTCGAATTGGGCATGATATATTTTGTCCGAACACATACAGTCAAATTTCGGCACTCCTGCCGTTTAAAGGGGTTGCCGTTCTTTGACCACTATGAGATTATGAGACTATAATTTTGGCATCAAATTTTGAACTACTTTATACTACATGTGAAAAATAAATTTAGTAAGGAGAGAAGGATTAATTTTGATTGATAGAAAAGGAGAATAGAATACATTGGTTTTATAGAACGGCGGCCCTCTTAACGGCAGGAGTGCCCTCATTTCATATAAGAATTGCCTTGAGCGTCGGCCCAGCTCTATAACTTACTAATTCTTTATAAAGATTAAAATTTGGCTTCCAAGGAATTTCATGCCTTATCCAAAAACCAGATTAATTTTTAAAAGAATTGTTCTTTCTATTATTTTTTGTTTGTACCATTTTATAAATTTGTTTAATTTTTATTTTAAAAATCTTTTTCAGTAATTATGTTGAAGCTGGAAAAATTACTCGTCGCGCAATTTGTTCAGATTGGTCACCAAATGGTGAAGCACTTTTTTGTGTTATGAGTCGTTCAAATCCTGTAGTTTTTAATGTTTGTTTAAAATTTTTAAAAATTCTTTTTATTTTTTTTAAAGTTATCTACCTCAGAATATGTTCATTTACGTGATCCAAATTATTCAAATTTTTGTACAATTAAATCTTGCACGTTTGCTGGTCATAATTTTATGTGCACGGGCAGTGATGATTGGAATATTTATGTTTGGGAAATGCCAACAGATTGGAGCGGTAATTTTGAAATTTTTTTCTGAAAAAATTTTCGAAAAAAAAATTTATTTTTTTCGAAAATTTTTTTTGAAACAAAATTAAAAAAAATTTTTTGAAAAAAAATTTTTTTTAGACAAAAATGAAGAAAATGAGTATACCAGTAACGCCTACACTGTCCTACGTGGGCATCGCTCAATAGTCAATCATGTTAAATATGGCTCAAAAAGTGGATTAATGTTGTCTTGTGGAGTGGAAAAAATTGTCAAAGTAAATTTAAAAAAAAATTTTTCAAAAATTTTCTCCTTTTTTCAGTGTTGGAGTCCTTTGCCATTATTTAGTTCCTATAGCAATCCAAAACTGAGAACAAAACTTTCAAATGCACGTCTTTTTCCGTATGTGGATATGGGTGATCCACATGGGGATTCTGGTTAGATTTTTGAAATTTTTTAAGAAAATTTTTGGCTCTTGTCCAGTTTAGGCGTCCAATCGCACCTTTAGACGTCTAAACGATTTTTATGCGACCAATGCGCGGGGGTCGTTTTGTCGCTACAGTGAAGATTTAAATTTTGAATTTATATATTTTTCCCATTCTCGGAACAACTTCACCCGTTTCCAAACAACTCGGAACAAATTCTTTCGTTGACGGACCAACATCTCAGGCTGACGCACAACTTGGAATATGTTTTTCTTGAAAAGAAATAAAAGTTACAAAAATAATCTAAATCGCATAAAAATTTGTTTGGGCTTCTAAACTGGACAAGAGCCTAAAGTTTTCTTTATTTTTTTGAAAAGTTTTATAAAAATTTTTCTAAAGGCTAAAAAATTTATTTTAGATATTGAAGAAGATTTGAGCACATTACATCGTTTTGATTATTATTATGAGGTTATTTTTTTTTTAAATTATTCTAAATTTCCAAAAGATCCAGTCTTTACGAATGCGTCAGTCTAATGGAATTGTGGAAGATTCCGATTCGGATTCTGATATGGATTCAAATTATTCTTCTGGATTTCTTTTGTATCAGGTCTTTTTTAAATTTAATAAATTTGGTCGCGTCATAAAAATATTTTTTAGCTCTAATTGAGGTTATATTTAAATGGAATTTGTAAAGAGAAAAGGTTAGTCGATTGGAATTCTTTTTTTCCCTAAAAATTTAAATTTTTATGACGCAACCTTGGCAATATTTTATACTTTTCTTGTTATATTGTATATGTGTATCCTTTCATATTAATTTTAACAATAAGTAAGGTTGTTAGCGACCTGTTAATTTTGACCTGTGATGCATAGGTGGGTCGGAATTCAGATTCCCGACGATTTTTTCCTTCCGATTTTCGAAAAAATTTTGATTTCCGAGTTCCGACTTTTGAGCCAGTTCCTATTTCCTACACATCGTACTGTTCCGACCCACACATGCTGTGATGGCTCAAATAGAAAATTTTAAGGTCATTTGAACCGCCACAGGCGAAAATTAACCGGTCGCTAACAACTTTAGTTGTATACATTTTTAAGCCAATTTAGCAAGCAATTGCAATATTTATCACAAAAATTAAAAAATTAAGACAAAGAATATGAGGATACACCAATATTTATTATCAATAAATTTTTTTAAAAATGTTTTTTAAGTTTCAGAATAATGCAAATAATGGAAGTAACAATGGAGATGACCAAGAATCCTATTTTAGTGGTATAAGTGCCGGTGGGGATGTTGAAGATTCGTCAACATCAGAAAATGCTTCAATTTCTAGTCAACCCCTTGGTCATTCTGTTGGGGGAGGGGGAGGCCATAATAATTTCGATGATGCTTTTTAAAAAGATGTGAACCAAAAAAGTATATTTTTTTGACAAAATAATTTTTACACTTCTAATATTTGTGTGTATTTTATAGAAATTTTTATAATTGAAAAAATTTTTTTTTAATTTTTTAAAAGACTTGAATTTTGTCTTGAAATATTTTTTAATTATTTTTTTTAAATTATTTTTCATTTCCTCGCGTAATTTTCACCGAAGCCGAGGCGAAGCACTGGGTCTGAGGCGAAGCTTTAGTAAAATTGAAAATTAATTTCTAAATCCACTACATTTCCTCCTCTGGAAAGCATGTGTTGTTGCCCTTCTTTAGACTAGTAAATTTGGGATGGGCTGCGGGTTTTTTTCTTGACCTGAAACCCCAATCTGACTTTTCTTAACCCTACCCATCCCGAACTGTATGTCTCCTTACTCGGAGAAAATTTCTCATTAATATTAAAAATGAAGACGACTCTCCAAAATACTGAAACTTTGATCAGCTATAACTTTTCAATTTGGGGGTCAGGGGGAAAAAGCCAGAAATGGCCAATAGGTTTTCGACCCTGCTCTACACGATGGTGCAAAAATTTTTCGAAATTTTTTCATACAGTTCGGGATGTTCCCTTGTTAACCCTACCTATACCTAAATACTTTTTTGTACTTTAATTAATCGAAAAATATTTTCGGTTAATTGTCTATTCGGTGAACTTTTCTTTTATTTTTTTTAAATTTTTTAAAATAATTCTAAATATTTTTTTTCTTTGTTTTTAGCATTTAAATATTTATTATTTAACAAAATTTTTTTTCGTTTTTGTCACTTCACGCATTTTCACTTTTGCAACGACTTTAATTAAAACCTCATCAATCAAATAAATAAATTTTCTACTTAAACAACAACAAAACAATAATTCTCTTCTAAACGCAGTTTATAAGGTTTTTATTTATTTTTTTAATTTTATTAAAAAAAAGAAAGATTGATGTTTATAAATTTTAGAAAAATTGAGGAGTTTCTTTAATTTTAAATTTAAAAAAAGAAATTCAATTTTTAACTCTCGCTTTGCGACAGAAAATTTAGAAAAAAGGAAAAATCGCGCGCTGCTTTTATCTCTTTATATTTTTTTCTATGCGCGCAATTTCACTAACCTTTTATTAACGAGAGCCATTTTTTCACTATCCTCTACAGAGGTGGGTTGGTACAGTCAGAGGTGTGGGAAATCGTAGGAGCCGGAAATCGGAACTGGCTCATAAGTCGGAAATCAAAATTTTTTTCGGAAATCGGAATTTCGACCCACCTCTGTCCTCTACATACCTAGAAAATCAATTAAAAATTAATTAAATTTTTTTATTTTCTTTTTTTGAATAAAAACATTCAATTTTTTTTATTTTCCATCGAAAGATCATTCCCTTTTGTAAAAATAAAAATAAATAAATGGGCTGAGTATACGTCCTTTTAGTAGAAAATGGAAGAGAAAAAAGACTGATTAGAAAAGAAAAAATAAAAAAAAAGATAAAAATTCCGTTGCATTGAAAAATATTTTTATTTATTTTTGTTTACCTAAAAAAATCTTTTTTTAATTTATTTTTATTCAAAAATCTAAAAAAAATTATTTTCAAATTAAATTGTTGTGTTCGCACTTGCAGAAAAAATATAATTGAAAATAAATAACCAGCATTGGTTTGGATGGTGGCACAGTCGTTTGTGCTTCGGTCTGCGCCCTTTCCGTGATGGTTCTATTCCATCCCACAATTTTTCCACGGCATGAACATCGGACATGACATAAATTTTTGAAATATTTACAAAAAAAATTTTTTATTTTTCCCTTTTTGGGGTTATCGCTTAATATTTGGATTAAATAAAAATTCCGCGCTGTTATAGAAAAAATAATGGAAAAAGGGTGGAGAAATGCCTTGCGTCGCCTTTTTTTAATTTTTTTTCGTCGCAGGACGCAAGAACTTATGTAACCTCGCCATTAATTAACTTCTCCCAAACTAACCAAATTTTATATAAACATTGTCTAAATTGAATGTATTATCCCGTTTCAAGATTATTTTATTGTAATAGATCTGGGTGTACTAACTTTAAAAATTTAAACAAAATTCTACAAAAAATTTTCAAAAAAAAAATTTAAAATTTCAAAAAATTTTTTTTTCAGCATTCCTAAAATAATAAAATGACAATTCTTCATATTCGACCAAAACGTGCTCGTATCCAAACCTTTTATCGTTGTGTTAAAAATATTGTTCGATATGATTCTACCTCTACAGACCAAAGGGAATTTAAAAAGGTTTTTTTTGTTGAAAATTTTTTAAATAATTTTTTTACAATTTTTAAGGTTATGGTTGCAAATCGAGGGGAAATTGGTAATTAATTCTTTTAAATTTTTTAAAATTTCTTTGCCATGGATAAGGTTGGGATTTTAATTTGGTATATGTATGTCTAGTTTATTTTTAAATACCATTCCTCTTTTTTTTATCCCGAGCCATAAGAATAATCGAAATATAAAGGGAATACAAATATTTTAGTTAATTTTTGTTAGCTTGGCAGGATACTCGCTCACTAGAGATCGAGCTGTACCTGGACCAAGGCCTGGGTTTTTCCTGTACCCAGAGTCGAGGCCCAGGCATTTTTTATCTTTCCGGGTTTTTTCTGGACTAAAGGCCCAAGATCCGGCCCAAGTCAATAAATCAAACTCCAGAGCACGCTTTTCAAAAATCTCATCTCTATCGCTCACTCCTTTAGAGTGATTTTAAACGAGTGTTGGGCTATTTCCTTCGATTCAACAATTACTACAAGCTAGACCTATCTCTTAGATTTATCATTTCCTTTCGCTTATTCCCTGGATTTGTATTGGCTATGGATAGGCAAAGTCGACGGGAAAAGTTAAATTATTCTTTCCTTATCTCTCAATTACTTTCCTCAATTCTTCTTCAATTTCTGTCGTTCAATTCCTCAATTCCTTCCCTTACAAAAAATTCTCTCTTTAATTTCTAAAAAATTTTCTCATTTTATAGCAACGCGAGTATTTCGAGCATTAACAGAAATGAACAAAACTTCTGTTGCTATTTATTCAGAACAAGATAAACATTCAATTCATGTTTATAAAGCTGATGAAGCTTATTTAATTGGAAAAGGTTTTTTTATAAAATTTTATAAAAATTTTTAAATTTTCTTTTTAAAGGTTTACCCCCTGTTGCTGCTTATTTAAATATTGACCAAATTGTTGATGTTGCTCTACGTAACCAGGTTGATGCTATACATCCAGGATATGGGTATTTTTTTATTTTTTTTTGTTAAAATTTTTGTGAAGGTTTTTTTCGCCTTATTTTTTTTTAAATCACAAAATTTTACCCAATTTTATGTGTTTAGGGCAGGCTAAGTTCCTTCCTAGCCTAACTATTGAGGAAAAAAAATCGTTGATAGGATGGTTAGGCGGTTAACAACCTTCCATTGCGGAGGAAAGTTCTTAGGATCAAGTTTCCTCCAAATTTTTGATATTTTTTGAGATGAGTTGGGTGTCATTTTATTCATGATTTTCTTTTATTGAGAGCTGATACCTGTAGAACGGAAATTTTTTGCCTTCTTTCCTTTGGGAAAGAAGGCAAAAAAGTTGACTGTGGTTAATCTTAATGTTAAGATTTTTGTTATTTAAAAATTTTTTTTTAATTTTATTTTTCTAGTTTTCTCTCTGAACGTGCAGATTTTGCCCAAGCTTGCCAAGAACGCGGAATTGTTTTTATTGGACCTTCCCCTTCTGTTATGAGGCGCATGGGAGACAAAGTATTTTTTCTTTTTTTTATTAAAAAATTCTTTTCTTTTTTTAGGTTGCTGCCCGTCAAGCAGCTATAGAGGCGGGAGTTCAAGTTGTCCCAGGAACTAATCATCCAGTAACTAGTGCTGATGAAGTAATGGATTTTGTTAAACAATATGGGACTCCGATAATAGTTAAAGCTGCTTATGGAGGTGGTGGTAGAGGGATGAGGAAGGTGGAAAGGGAAGATGATGTAAGTTAAGAAGTTTTTAAATTTGTGGGGATTTTTCATTAAATTACAAAATTAACTAAATTATTAAAATACACGCTGAAAAAAAGTATCTTATTAAAGAGATTTGCCTAGACATCTCCCCCACTCACTAGTCATCCAAAAAAAATTTTGTAACAGTTGATTGACTATTGGGGTAGCATATGTATCAACCGGGACAAAAGTCGAAACTTTGAAGCCCTATAACTTTCCGATTTGGGGGTAAGGCCAAAAGGCTGGCAATGGGAACTCGACCCTGCTGATGACAGTTTGATATGGTTCCTTGTGAGAGGTATTTAATTTTAGGTATATCTTATGGTGAGGTCCGATTATCAGAAAAAATTTAAAAAATTTTTTTAATATTTTTAAGAATAATTTATTTAATTTTTTTCTAGGTAGAAAATGCTTTTAACAGAGCCTTTTCTGAAGCACAAGCAGCTTTTGGTGATGGTTCTTTGTTTGTTGAAATGTTTAAATTTTTTTTTTTTTGAATTTTAAAAAAAATTTTTTAAAGATTTGTTGAAAGGCCAAGACACATTGAAGTTCAAATTATGGGTTGGCTATTTTCTAAAAATTTTTTTAAAATTTATTTTTAGGCGATCATTACGGAAATTTAATTCATTTATACGAAAGAGATTGGTTAGAAAAATTTTTTTTGTAAATTTCTCATTTTTTTATTTTCCCAGTTCTGTTCAACGTCGACATCAAAAAGTTGTAGAGCTTGCTCCAGCTCCAATTTTAGACCCTATTATAAGACAGAAAATGTTGGATGATGCAATAAAGTTGACAAAGCATGTTGGGTATCAGAATGTTGGTAGGTTTTTTTGAAAAATTTTTTTCGGAAATTTCCCCAACTTTTCTAGGCACAGTCGAATTTTTATTGGATAGAGCCGGGAATCATTATTTTATGGAGGTTAATGCTCGATTACAAGTAGAACATACAGTTACTGAAGAAATTACGGGAGTTGATTTGGTTGGTTTGGAAGGGGGAAAAATTTCAATAAAAATTT